ATTTATATTATCTGCGTTACATATTGTATGTAATATGGAGGTGGTTCATTCCAGCTAGCTAAGTTCTTCACCCGAACACATGCACACACCCTAATACTATTGTGTTAAATCCAGCAATCTTATGTGTATAAACTAAAAGAAGAATGAATACCACGAGTTTTTCACGGTTAGATTACATTAACACACACTGATACGAGTTTCTGTGTTAATCCAACATAATCCAACTGCGAAAAACTGGTGCCGGCACTGTAAGATAAAATCTACCCAAAACTAATTACGTTTATATATAAAGTACAATCCTTAAAGACCCAAAAAATGTCTAACCCCGTACTTAATTATAACTATTAATATATATGACAAAATAAGAAAATGACGAATTGATTAAAACTAGTGCATGAAACATAAAATTTGCAGAACTTAAAAAAGCTATTAAAAAAATAAAAAAGAAAAACGAGAACTTACACGGGTTCAGAAAGCGCATATATATAATAATTATAATCACAATAAGCACCGTTCTTTTTAGCCCATATGTAACTATTTATTTAATTACTAGTTTAGCCCATGGAGGGCATGGGCCACGTTACACACACTTTTGAAAGCAACTTTCAACTATCGTTGCGAATACAGAAACACTACTTTACTATTATATTATACATTTATACAGGCATTTAGCACACAAACGATATTATTTTATTTTATTTTATTATATTAGTTTTTTTTTTCTTTTTTTTTTCCGGTCAAAATCAGCACATAACATCCTTGAGGAGCTTGTACCTGCGAGGGGTGGGCCGCGGGGAGGGGAGTTTTCCGGTGGCCTTCTCTGCCGACGAGCCGCCGTCCTCCCGGTGGTGATGCTGCCGGAGTTTGTCGCCGGAGCTAGCCGGCGACCTCAATTCGGTACTTGAATGACCTGATTTGTTACTGCTGTTTTTGCAATTCCCAGGAGAGCTTTTCTCCTCGCATTGGCACCAATCACAGATTCCGATCGGCTCGGCTTGTTTGCCGTGGTAGTAATTGCTGCAATACCTGCAGTCAAAAACAAAACTAGTAGCAGTTTATGATGATTTGATCGCTTACCTTTTACCTTTGCCTAAAATTTAATGAAAAATTTGTGAGGTAAACGATGATTGACTGAGGAATTAGTTCAAATCATCGATTAAGCGAAAATCAGTCCAAAAATTGCATGTGATTAGTGAGATTTTTCAGAGAGAAAGAGAGAGGTGGCGTACGAGTGCTGAAAGCGGCGACGGCACTTTGAACAGCGGAAGAGCTTGTCCGGAAAACCAACATCGCCGCACATACTGCACACAGTTTGCTGATCATCCACCATTTTTGTGTGTGTGTGTGCCGAGAACAAATCAAACCAGTGGATTTACAGACAGAGAGATAGAGAGTTTTTGGTAGGGAAAATAATGGAGAGGTGGTTTGAACTTTGAAGCATCTCTTGTTTATATGCACGCACATAGGAGACGTATATATATGTAAATGTATCTATAGTATCTGTATGTATAGTTTATCGGGTCTATATGTGTGTGTGTGTGGTAGTGGGTTTGTGGTTTTGTGTGTGGGAGAGAGAAAGAGAGGTACAGGTAGACCACAGGTCGCTTGCGGTCGTTTTCAGTTAAGAGGAAATATTTGCTTGCTTTTAATTTGAGTGGGGAAAATGACACTTTTATCCTGCTTGTGTTGATTATTATTTCACATTTTTAATTCTTGACTTTTCCTTTGGATCTCGAATTTTCCATGCGTCTTGAAATTAATTGATTATCTGTATTAGACATGGCCAAATCGGCTAGGCCCGGCAAGGCGGACCTACGGGTTGGGTCCGTGCTGGGTCCAGGTCCCGGCAGGCTGGGCCGGGTCGGCTCTGGGCCCGCGCTAATAAAAAAATTGAAAACCATATGTTTTTTTCGTGTCGGCCCAGACTCAGACACAACCAAATTTTTCAAAATTAATTATAATTAACCAAAATAACCATTTTACATGGATTATTTGGTAAACAAACGTTTCCTTAGTCTTTAGTTTTCCTCCATTTTGTATTGCATAAGCTCTAGTTTCTTGCTTTGAGAAAGGAGAATGAATTCAGGCTATGTTTGAAATATAAATATTCTACTTTCAAAACGCTTGAATGAATTTGTAGAAAATATTATAACTGTCTAACTCGCACGTGTTGACTCGCGGTGGTGCTAAATCAAAATGAAGAGTCATAAACTCAATGTGATGATGGGACCTACTGGCCGATCGCTTTACCAGTTTGCCTTATTGGTTTTTCGTTCATAAAGAGATCGGCAAAAGGAACTATCGGGTTGATCAACTCTCAAACTTAAAAGAAGATCGACACAGGAAGGGTTTTGCGCGTCTTTAGACTTTTCCTTCTATAACTTGGGCCAAACCCAACACAAGCACAATATTTTTCGGGAGTGATGCGACTCTTTGCTAAATGACCCGGACCAAATCCTTAAATATATATAACTTGTATTAATTTTATACACAAGAATGTGTAATATTTTTTAATAAAACTATGATTAGTTAACTTGGTCAAATCAGTTTATCTATGCAACCAATATTTAAAATGAGTTTTATAGCAAAATATGTCATAATTAATCGTGTAATGTGTTACACTTTTTTGTAAGGTCGTGCGGTACAATTGCTTTACATGAGAGTGGGATTTCACATTGCAGTGTGGTGTGTAGCGGTAAAAAGGTAATTGCAAATTTTCCTCAAAAAGGAAACACCAGTCAACATCGTTGCTGTCCATTTGCTTTTGGTGGTCATCATCACACAGTTGGGGGCATACTTGTCATTTTATTATTTTTGATGGGACAAAGGCACAATATTGTGAATCTTGCCCGACTCCAATCTTTTTTACAAAAGTCGAATGCCCCATCATTAAGGTAAGGTAAGAAGGTGGGTCTTCGAAGAAAAAATGAGTAAGGTAATCATCTCTTTTGCTTACAAATTAGGGTGGAATTAGATGTAGATTAGTTTAGAAAAAAATATTAAAAATTAATATAATAAGGGGAAAATATTAGTAAGAAGAATGAATTAGATGTGAATTTGTGAATGAACATGAAATAAAATATAAATATTAAAATTAATGCCATATAAAAATGTAAAAGATAATAACTGTAATGAATGATAGTTAAAAATATGTTAGTTGATATAGTAATATTTTTTTTGTTAAAAAAGTGTAGCAACTATTTAAAACAAGATTTTAAATAGCGAGCTAAAACGTTTATGGCACTGTAGCTATAGCGGAGCTATAGCGGAGATTTAGCAGGATTTAGCGGCTAAATTGCACATGAATACAAATAGCGGCACGCTGCCAAAAAAAGCTATTTCTCAAATAGCGGCAACTTTAGCGAACTATTTATTTCCTTGATTTAAAATTATGGAGTATCATTTTAAAAAAGAGTAATTTTTATCTACAAAATTTCCAATAGTAGTTTGAGCAAAAAAAAAAATCATCCAACTGAAAAATTAAGAAATAATTGTATCGAATCTCGCTCTTTAATTTGGATGCCCACCCATTTGTAGTTGTAGTAAATTACACTTTATTAAATTTAACAATTTCTCTACTTTTAAATTCTCCAATGCACAATATTACTACAAATATACTGATGATATGGACATGATTAATGTATACAATGTGGATAAAAATGTGATTCAACCACATTATAGACAATCAACGGGGAGATGAGAGATAACTATTATTACCATTTTAAAATATCTAATTATTTAA